TAAATTTTAAACGAACCGAACACGAACACAAGCTTTGTTCGTTCGTGTTCGGTTTGTTTACACCCCTAACAATAATGACTGTATTTAGTCTCGCTTAAGATAAACAATATGAAGATTGTATTCTTATTATAATTCGTTTTGTTGTTGCAATTCTCAGTATTCGATGGCGGAGGAGGCGGTTTCTGGCGCCAATGCAGTACCTTCGTCCCAACAGGCGGTGTCGCCGGGACCCATTGGGAGCTCAGTGATTCCGATTGCGAACAAGCTGCAGGACATATTCGCGCAGCTGGGGAGCTCGTCGACGACGGGGAGTCCCGGCGACGATGGCCCTGCCGCGGGTGGCGGTGGTGGGGAGCCAGAGCAGCGGCAAGTCAAGCGTATTGGAGGCGCTCGTCGGCCGCGATTTCTTGCCGCGTGGCTCTGATATTTGCACGCGATGCCCGCTGGTGCTGCAACTGGTTCATTCTGACGAGAAGGAGGAGTGGGGAGAGTTTTTAAACATTCCTGGGAAGAGGTTCTACGACTTCCGGGAAATCCGGCGTGAGATTCAGGTGATGAGGCGCAACACTTTGAGCTTGTAGATCATTTACGCCGAATTTATTTATTTGTTTTGTTGTATTGGGAATATGCGTGAACCTCGCAGGCTTTTTGTTTTGCTATATTGGCTGTGCTTATAGTTTATGCTTACATATTCTTTCATGCATATTTGAAATTTAAAGCCATAAGAAGGAAATTTCTGCAGAAATTGTGCTTCATAGGTAGGTTCCTCTGGTGGGTTTTGAGGGATTTTGTTGCAGATTTCTCATGCCAGAAGTTTCAATGCAGCAACGAGTATTTTCCCCAACCAGTGAATTATGTTTTCCGTGATTGTAATTGCTTTTGCGCCTAATTCATCAAAATTGTGCTTTTAGACATTTTGGCATGTGTGCTTTAAGTCTATTGCTGCATTGACTCACTTTATGGCTTTTATTTATATTTCCATTTTATTTATCGGTCAGTGTTCCATGAAATTGAATAGTAAATCTACAGGCCGAAACTGACCGTGAAGCTGGGGGTAACAAAGGAGTTTCAGACAAGCAAATTCGTTTGAAGATTTTCTCTCCAAATGTTCTTAATATCACTCTGGTTGATTTGCCCGGAATAACTAAGATTCCAGTAGGCGATCAACCGAGTGACATCGAAGCTAGAATCAGAACAATGATATTATCATACATTAAGCATGAAACTTGTATAGTATTGGCAGTTTCACCAGCAAATGCAGATTTATCAAACTCCGATGCACTTCAAATAGCCCAGATTGCTGATCCAAATGGTAATTTATGAAGTTTTGATTACTTTTATGCTTATATGTTACAATTCAGGATTGTACATTTGTAGAGGGATTTGTTTTTTTTTTTAAATAAAGAAAATTAAGGGGCATTTAACCCAATTCTTATGTTTTAACATATCTAACACCTATACCTTGCTTTTTCATTTATACAGCCCAAATCTTTCATATCGCATAAAAAAAATGCCACAATTTTAACTTTTAGAAAATGAAATGCGCAATTCATGGGTAAGGCGACATATATAAAAATTGAAGTTTAGGTATTAGTTATTTAAATACATAAGAATTCAGTGGAATGTATGCATATTTTCTTAAAATTAAATTGCAAACTCATTTTTTTGATATCCTTGTTCTTTCAGGTTCTCGAACGATTGGCGTCATCACGAAGGTAGTATATTTATATGTCATTTATATTTCAGTAAATGTTGTTTTTTTGTTTTGCTAAGCTAATTATTTCTTTATGACTTACAGTTAGATATAATGGACAGAGATACAGATGCACGTAATTTTCTATTGGGAAATGTGATTCCTCTTCGACTTGGCTATGTGGCTGTGGTTAACCGTAGTCAACAGGTAATGACCCATATGCTTTTTTTATAATTGCAGATTTATAACTGCATACCCTAAAATTTGAACCAAGATTCATACACATTTTGGGAAGTTTTAAAAGTACAAATCGATGTGCAATGACACAACATAAGTTGTGTGTGGGGGGGGGGGGTGGGGGGGGGGGGGGGGGTGCGGAGTATGCCATCTTTGTATAGTTACAAGTCAATGCAGGTTATTTTAGATTTTATTTTAATAACATTTGTTGTTGATCATAATTTAATTTTCTCAAATGCAACAAACTAAACATTTTATGCTATGAGAACATGTCTGAATATGACATGTTCTCATAGCATAGTTACAAGTCAATGCAGGTTATTTAAGATTTTATGCTATGAGAACAAGTCTGAATATGACATCCTTTGTAGTTATGTAAACAAGCCGAGTTTGAGCAAACTCAACTTGTGCTCATGTTCAGCTTATTTATATTTTTTAGTTCAGAATTGATTTGTGTTGAAATGGTTCGTGAACAGTCCGTTCGTGTTCGACACAAAAAATATTCATGTTTGTTTTTAACTCGTGTTATGCTCATACGGGCCCGTTTAAATTAATTTGAAAAATAACATAGGGTGCTAAATTCAAACTTGTCCCATTCCTATGCATTAGAAGTCGCAAAACTGCATGACCACATGAGCCGTGGTTATTTAACTTTAGATATCAATATATATGTTACATCATTATATAAGTAATATATATAATTTTTGTTGTGAGATATGTACTTCCTAGCATAGAAATGAGACGAAAAATAACACAAGCAAACACAGATCGTTTACGTGGTTCGATCCAACTGGATTTACGTCCACGGGAGGGAATCAATCAAATATTTCACTAAGGCAAAAGAATTGGAGAATACATAGCTTATACATAGAGATGAGTCCTCATCTTCCTTCTATGGCCTCGCTCTCAAGCGACACCTTGATACAATACCTCAAGATGCTCTCCTCCTCTCTAACTCTCTAGCTATTCTCTCCTCCTTTGTGGTAGCTTAAGATCTCTTCCCTCATGCTCTCCTAGGCCTCACACCCTCTCTATTTATAGAAGCAAGAGAGTGGTAGGTGGGAGGTAGGTGGGTGGTAGGTGGCCGGTAGGTGAGCGGTAGGTGAGATGTGGTAGGTGGCGGTGCCACATTACAAAATTGCCCTTTTACCTTAGTGCATTAATTGGGGGTCAAAATAACAATTCTCCACCTTGACCCTCAATTGAGAAGCTTCGAAGTAAAGATTCCCTCCACCTGGCCCCTGAGAGGGCCTCAGCCCTTAGTGAAGTTTACTAAGTCCAGACAGTGTCTGAACTTAGTTGTCGGTAGCACCTTGGTGAGCATATCAACAAGATTTTCTTCAGTAGGTATCTTCTCCACTACTATTGAACCATTGGCAACGACATCCCTCACAAAATGAAGCTTTATATCTATATGCTTGGATCTTTCATGAAATATCTGATTTCTGGTTAGGTGAATAGTGCTTTGGTTGTCGCAAAACACAGTTATCACCTTCTGATGTATCCCAAGCTCTTCAGTCATGCCCTTTAGCCACATAGCTTCCTTGATTGCTTCAGTCACAACGATGTATT